TCGCCGGGCTGCGGTGGAGGCTGAAGGCCGGGCCGCCCCCGCCGCCGGGGCGGGAACTCACCTTCGCTGAGGCAGGGGCGGGCGTCTACACTACTGTCCCCCTCCCCGCCAACGCCGCCGGCCGGGGGAGAGGCTGCGGTGGAGGTGGCGGAGAGGCAGAGAATACCGCCGCCGCCGCCGCCGCCTCCGCCGCAGAGCAGGCGGGGTGGGAGGAGGGGCGGAGACCCGGCTTCCTGAGGGGAAGTCACCGCCACCGCCGGCGGCCGATAGGACTGCGCCGGCGCCATGGCGGCCTGGCGCGCTACGGCGCCTGCGCACTAGACAGGGAGCGCTTAGTCCCGCCTTCCTGTCTGCTCCGCCCCCCTCCTCCCGCCATTTCCGGGCTCCGCGCTCACCCGTCTCACAAGCGGGTGGTTCCGGTCGTGGGTTGCACCTCGCACTTAAGGTTAAGGAGCAGCCGGCAGAGTCCGGCTACGGGCGGCTTAGCCCTGGAGTCCTAGCTGCTGTCCTGGAGTTGGAGACTGCCTCAATTGGAAGGCAGCTTGGGCCGAAAAGCCTGCCTGACGGTATCCCCATTAACCAGCAAAATGCCGGGCCGGGGGCGCGGCTCCTGTGGTGGAGTGCCATCTGTGAGTGGAAACTCGGGGGAGCTGGCGCTGGAGGCCTGGAGGTCCAGCTTCCTACGTGCTGGGAACCAGAAAGGAGAAAACTGAATTTAAGACCGAGGCAGATGATCTCCAAAGGCATTCATGCGCTTACCTCCCTATTTTCCTTTCCCTAGTTATGGCAACCAACATAAAGTATATTATACACAGGCCTTGGTCATAATGCATTGCCATTACTGGTTCATAGATGACCTTTACCTTAATCCCTCTCTCTTTTTCAGGTCATTATGCTTACAGCTGCATAACATCCATAAGCAGTATATATATACATACATACATATATATGTGTGTGTATATATATATGTATGTATATTCCAAATCTTATCTCCTCTCAGGAAGAACTCACTACCCTTCTTTGTATTCATAACCTTTCCTGACATCCCTCTCCCCCTCCCTCCCTTACATCTTTCCTCATTTCCTCCCAGGTTGGCCCGGAATTTGTGTCCTAGTTCTGGGATTACAGGTGTGTATCATCACACCAGGCTGTAGATTTATGTATTTTCCTCTTTATAGCATCTTAGGATTTGTTTCACTTAGCATCGAAATTCTCCTAAACTGTTGCAAATAGCGTAATCTTTTCAATTCATTTATATACAACGTTCCACCTGTTTTCCTGTTTATTGGTATATTTTCCTGTTATGGGTGTGTTTTCTTAGGCACTTTGCAAAAGTTTCTCGTGGGTATCTTCCACATTTCTGTCATACCGGCATGTCTTATGTCAGGTTCTAAGCCATGCATGATACATACAAAGATCTCTCTTCTTGAACTACTCCAATCTACCCTCTACATTTCTCTGCCTCCCCCCCCTCCCCACTTCTTTCTTCTGTTTTTTTCATTACTGGGGCTTGAACTCCCACTCTCACGTAGCTTTTTCCACTCATAACTATTGCTCTGCCATTTGAGCCATACCACTTCTGGCTTTTTTCTAGTTAATAGGAGATAAGAGTCTTGGTCTGGCTTCCAACTGTGATCCTCAGATCTCAGCCTTCTGATTAGCTAGATTACAGCTATAACCACCAATGCCTAGCTTACCCTTCACATTTCTACCAAGGGTTCTATCTAGAAGTTATTACTGGCTGCTCATTGTCTGTTGGGAAAAGCTAAAGTGAGCCTACCACCTTCAGTGCAACTCTAATCTTCCTATCTTCACAAGCTTTCACCTCCCTACACTACTTTGATCTTATGTTAAATACCACACTATTGTACAATTCAACATATTGTACTTGTTACTTCTCTTGGAATATGATCCCCTCCCCCCCCAACACTCTCTCTGTGCCTCTCTCGCTCTCTCTTTCTAAATGAACTTCTTTTCCTACAGAACTAAATCCTATCTTGGTTTCCATATTTCTCATTCTTAGGCATTGCTTCATACTTTCTTCCTTCTTCTTTTTAATTGGTCGTGGGGCTTGAATTCTGGGCCTGAGTGTTATCCCTCAGCTCTTCTGCTCAAGGCGAGCACTCTACCACTTGAGCCACATTGCCACTTCTGGTTTTCTGAGTGGTTTATTGGAGATAAGAGTCTCACAGACTTTTCCTGCCCAGGCTGGCTTTGAACTGCGATCCTCAGATCTCAGCCTCCTGGGTAGGATTACAGGTTTGAGCCAGCAGTGCCTGGCTTTTTATCATCTTTTATATTAATACCATTCTTTAATTCATACTGGTGGATGAGTAATTATGAGCCATTCTATAGACACTCTTCATAGACATTGAGCTTGTTTTCCAGCTTTACTCTTACCGACAATGCTGCTTTAACATCCTTTGAACAGATGACTAGGAGATTCTCAGGAGTTCATATTTAGGAGCTGTGGCTGCTGTTAAGTAGATGGCCTTAGGCAGGTTTAGTAAAGAAAAGCATAATATCTATATTCCAGTAGTTCCCACAATACCTAACCAGTTGTAGTTGTCTACACGTCATGGTGTGTGTGTGTGTGTGTGTGTGTGTCTGCTTTAACCTCTACATCTCTGCTCATGTTGTTGTGTTCTTGAGGCTGAGGTCTTCTCCAGTTCTTATTCCCCACCCCCTCTTATTTCTCTCGGACACTTTTTCTAAAACTTGCTCAAAGACCTTAGGTTGCCCTAGATTTTTACTTTGCCTCTTAATACTCTTCATCCATAGTTACATGCTGCCCATAATCCACTTTGCACCATCAGTGTCTTGAAACAGGGCCTTCAGTTTTTGTTTTTTGTATCTTGATACATATTCCAGTAATTGCATATGGAATACATGAATTTAAGAATTCTTAGGTACTCGCTTTGGCAGTACATGTACTAAAATTGGAACAATACAGAGAAGATTAGCAGGGCCCCTGTACAAGGATGACACACAGATTCATGATGTGTTCTTTATTTTTAATGGTGGGACAAAGGGTGAATCAATTCAGCAGTGATACTCACTGGACACTATGTTGGAAATGAACTATACAACTTGGGGAGTTAGGGGGACTGGGAGGAGAAAATGAGGGAGGAGGTGACACTGTTCACAAAGAAATGTACTCATTACCTGACTTATGTAACTGTAACCCCTTTGTGTATTACCTTTACAATAAAAAAACTCTTAGGAGAAAAACATTTTACAGAAAATATTTTTTAAAGCCAGAGGAGCGAGAAGTGAACATACTATTTTATTTTTCAGAGCTGGAGATCAAACTGAGGCCTCACATAGGCACAAATGCTCTATCACTGAATTGTGTCTCCAGTACCATACTATTTTAGTAAGAGAATGTGAAGTTTTATTGGGGATGTAATTATGAAGAAGCAAATATTCTGTCTTATTCTGGATTGGGAGTGTGAGATGGAATGAACACATTTTCTTTGATTGTCTCTTTCACTTTGCTTATGAAACGAATGACTGAATGAATGAGCCAGTGAATGAACTTTGAAGAAATGAGCCCTTCCAGGCCTATTTAATATTGTAAGCATTCAATTATTATTAATATCAGCCAGAGTTGGCAGATATTCTGTGTAAGAGGTCAGAACAGGGCTGGGAAGGTGGCTCAGTGGTAGAGCGCTTGCTTTGCATGCATGAGGCCCTGGGTTCGATCCTCAGCACCACATAAGCAAAAAGAAAAAAGCCGGAAGTGGCGCTGTAGCTCAAGTGGTAGAGTGCTGGCCTTGAGCTGAAGAGCTGAGGGACAGCACCAAGGCCCAGAGTTCAGGCCCCACGACCTGACCCAAAAACAAAAAAAAAGGTCAGAACATAAATGCTTTTTGGCTTTGTGAGTCATATGTTCTCTTGGTGATTATTAAACTCTGCCATCATAGTATGAATGTAGGCCTACAAGGATGTAAACATGTGACTATAGCTGTTTTTCATTTATAGTCAAACTATTAAGGTACAAAACATTCTTAATTCATATGTCAAAAAGACCCTCATACACCCTTGTCCTAAATGAACACTAAGGTTCATAGAGAGGAGGTGGAATTTAGGGATGTTCTTTTACTAAAGTGGCTTAGGATACAAAAATTTGCAACTCCCTTCATTTGCCACTAGGTGGTGGTCCCTGTAGCTATGAGGCTCAGCCTGTAAGTCAGCAAAGGCTTTGAGCAGTAGTAGCTGAAGTATTCAGATAGGTACATGAGCTTACCAAAGATTCAATACTTATCACAAACTGTATGGGATTGTTTAACTTTTCTGCTTTTCTACTTACTTGTATATATTCCCTGTAATGTACCATATCCAACTGAGGGACCGCAATGACTCTCTCAAGGTCTCTGAGGTTATCAGCCCCAATCTAGGACAATATTATAAACATAGCTAAAAATTTGGGAGTTGCAAGCCAGGTTTCAGTTGGTTCACACCTGTAATTCTAGCTACTTGGGAGGCTGAGAACAGGAGGATCAAAGGTCAAGGCCAGCTGGGGCAGAAAAAGTTTGTGAGACCCTTTTCAACCCATAGTGGACACAATGCTGTGGATTTGTTATTCTCAACTACATAGGAGGCTGAGATTGGGATGACTGTGGTGCCAGGCCAGTGGACAGAAAAATTCTCAAGACTCTGTCATCATGAAAGGGAAGCTGGATGCAGTGGCATGAGGCTGTGGTTCCAGCCATGATGGGAAGCATAAAGTAGGTAGAATGCAGTCAGGCATTGGTGGCTCACACCTTCAATCCTATCTACTCAGTAGGCTGATCTGAGGATCACTGTTCAAAGCTAGCCTGGACAGGAAAGTCAATGAGTCTCTTATCTCCAATTAACCACCAGAAAACTGGAAGTGGTGCTGTGGCTCAAGTGGTAGAGCTCTCGCCTTGAGCTGAAGAGCTCAGGGACAGGGCCCCGGCCCAGAGTTCAAGGCCCATGACTGACAAAAAACAAACAAAGGTGGAATGCAATGGGCACAGACCTGGAGATGGGTATATGTGAATGAGAGCCTATCCTAAAAATAACCAGTGAAAAACAACTGGAGACATGATTCAATGGTATTATACCAACCTAATAAATGAGGCCCTGCATGCAAACCCTAAGAGTGGGGGAGGGAGAGAAAGAGAGAATGGGGGGAGCAACATGGAATCTAGAAACAGATTCTACCCAAGATGCAGATTATTAGGGCCTACTTACATT